CACATCTAACTTAAAGATTTAGTGTGACTGATATTGATTTAGGGCACATCTAACTTAAAGATTTAGTGTGACTGATATTTATCTTCAAACAGATGCAGTCCATTGAAAATTCAACTTATTAACAGTATTGTTAGAATTCATTTCACCAGAAACCTGTAAACAAGTTACAGCTTTTTATAGTAGGGAAGAATATTTTTAAAACAGTAAGACGTTTCGGTAACTGGTGCTATCATTCTCAAGTACAAACTATTGATCTTTGTTTAACCGAAAATGATCACACTAGTGGTTGAAACGTCTTACTTAAAAAAAAAAATATTATTCCTTACTGTAAAAGTTGTAAATTGAAATAAAATAACAAAAATATCGATTGTTGAAAAATAACATATACAATGGTTTATTGTTGAAATGGTGATTGTTGAAAATAGCACGAAATGGTCTTTTGTTGAAATACCGATTGTGTTGAAAAAATAACAAAAAATGGTTTACTTGTGAAATGTTGACTCAACGAAAAACATTTGATAGAAGATTGAATGTTCTACAATTTAACTGCTGACAAGAGACGATTATGTAAACAGTTAAGTACGTTTTATAGTTCAGATGTTGCGTCCACTTGTAATATCTTTCAAAGCTGTTACAATTCACAGTTTACAGAATTCCTTGTTTCACTCCCTCGATCGGCTTTATGTTGACTCCTCAAATTATTCCTTTCTTTCTGCTTGTTAAAATATGTTAAATATTTGATTTCTGGGTTGTTTTATTCTTTAGAAGCTGCGATATAAGAGATATATATTCATGTTGTTTATTGAGCTTATTAATTAATTTTTTTTACATTTTAAAAGTTCTTATATCAATGACAGTCATCGTCAACTTTGATGAAAAAGTAGCTATTTTACACCAGGAGCTAATGTGTCTTGTTGTTATTTTAACCCTATAATTAATAAGGATATTTGTAGAACTGGAGCTGGCATAAAAATATTCATTTCTGAGACAGATTCCAATGTTATTTTGCAGCAACCGTGCGATTTTCTCACTAAAGTCATTTGAAATTTAAATTAAAAAAAGGTATTTTTTCAAATTTGCTGGCGTTTTGAATAAAAAAAAAACACTGCTGTAGACTGTAGCGTTACATAGTAAATTTGTTCGTTTTATATCAAGACACGGAGTGAACCTTCACAAAATTTATTACATAACACAAACAGTCTGCAAATATCTGATTTATGCTTTCAGAAATCCATCTAGATGGCGCTGCAAACGTAACCTTTATGAATCACACTGTATGAAAGACTGACGAACAAATAAGAAAGTAGCAAAAAAAAACTGATGAAGAGTTTTCAGTACTTCAAACTTTCTTTTTTATCCGACGTTTTAGGCCTGGTAGCAGCAGTTTCGTGGTTTCAAAACCTATGTTTTTTTTTATTCATGTCTCGACACAATGGACGACAAAAACTGTCTAATCTGTCTGCTCATTTTTCTCGTATAACGATAGAATGTATCTGATCGTTTTAACGATCTCTTTACACGCAACTTTTTTATTTTTGGTGTGAAATCAAAAAATATCTTCTTTCGTAGTCGTCCTTTTATCGTCTAACAATAGACTGAAGAACATTTTTAATCAGTGAACTCTGACGAGCTAATGTCCGCGTTAATCATTGTCGACATACGAAGAAGGTCCTCAGATAAGAACATTCGTTAAAAAGTACTTGTGTCTGGAAATTAGGATGATTACCGTTTCCTGAAAGAATTTGGTACAAATTTATCGATAAGTTATCCGATATTGTTTTTTAAATATGTACGTATAATTAGTTCCTGAAATTGTGAAAAATTATTTTTCGTAACGGAAAACATTTGTATTTTTGGCATAGCTACTAAATTTGAACTACTGACCAAAATCAAAGCAGACAGTCAGAAGCAGCACCCCACCTTCCACTCTTAGGGATTGACTGTCACTCTTATAACGCACCTACAACTTAAAGTACGGGGAGTATGTTATGATATCACTCAGAATCGGAACCCAGCTTGCTAGTTCCCAAATTTGGAGCTCTCCTACACGGCTAACCCTGTGACCCGTAAAAGAACGTTTTTATTAACATGAGTGACTTGATTTTTCACATGCCTAACTTGATTATTTAATTAACAGCATGTAAAATATAGGTCAATAGACACACGTCTCGTTAGAGCATACTTTCAGTTACCCAGAATTAGCTGGATAAACTTTGCAAATTCAGAAATAAAAAGTGAATATTTTTACACGTATTCATATTAGGCTTAAGATAAATTAGGCTTACGAGTTCAGAATAGTTTTGTCAGTTAGGTTAAGAAATCCTGGCAAGAAAAACGCTGAAGAAATTGAAGCAAATTGCAAAGATCAAACTCGGGTTAGTTTGGCTAAATATACATTTTCGAACTTTTGACATGGCACGATTTTGGAATAACTTTCGACGGTGAATCAGATGTAAAGGTACTTGCGTCGATATGAAGTAACAACTTCGCAGATGAGAGTCTTGGCAACGTTTGACGTGTGTTGTTGCACGAGCCTGGAGACGAGGCTATATATAGCCATCCGTGCAAGCAGCGCACTAGAGTAATGGTGATAGGCCAAACAAATCTGAATCGGGGATGTCTTTTTCTCTCAATCTCTCTGTGTTTATGGTGAGTTTGCTAGGTGCAGGCAAGAGTTACGTTTAAAGCGCGTTTCACCTACGAAAACTTTGTGTTCCTCAAAACAATCCATTCTTTTAGTTTTCTCAATCTTCCAAAGCAATTGTCCAGTTTCTCAAAACTGATAATTTCCTTTTTTTGCTTTCATTTGTGAAGACTGTAGAGGAAGCAGTATAATTCATCGTGAAATAACACTTGCTGTGTGCGTCTGGTAGAGTTTCTGGGCTTTAACATTTTGTTACATTTACCTCACTAAAGTCTCCCTTATTAATAAAGCAACCACCCCTGTATATATATATATGTGTGTGTTTTGTGTGAAAATGAAGGGTTAGAACAGTAGGCTTAGCGCAAGTGTAGGACACCGAGGGCACTCTAAAGTCTTATGTAAGTGTAAAAAAAAAGTACTTATAATGTTTTAAAGTCATAGAGAAGTCGTATACTATATTGAGTTACCAAGTTAAAACCAAAACCAAAACACATGGAAGCTGAGACACGCCTTTCAACTCCGACCGAGTCAGATGCTGTAAGTGTAGCAGTAATGACAATCGTGTCCGGTGGTCTGTCCAGTTCCTTATGCGACAAGGGGGTTCAAGTTGATGAACCTCGTAGAATAAGCAATTACGAACACGTTAATGGCGAATATCGCGAACCTCCGGGTACAAAAAATCTTTTGTGGCGACAGGACAGCGATCGAAGCGATTCGGTTCGATCTGTCGATCAACACACCTCTAACAGTCAGAAAAGCAGGCGCTCGGGGCAACGGAATAGCCGCCGTCTGAGACGGTCGGTCTCGGCTAGAGAAGGGGAACGTGCGATACCTAGACCTAAAGTAAATAGAAGTATCAGCGAGAGAAGAGAACATCCGAATCGGCATCACCGACGAGCGTCCCAGCGTGGGAACCAGCGCGGTCGTAGGACGTCTAATTCTGGAATAGACGATCCTAATCATCCCTCATTTCAAAACGCTCTTAAAAACAACGACGACTTTTCTACACACGGAAGCGGAAAAATAAATGAAACAGTAGCTGTTGAAATAGGCTTAGCTGAAGCTAAGGGAGTGAGTCCGAAGGAAACCCGCAGACGACAAATAGTTTTTGCGGTCGTCCTCATTTCCCTGGGAATTCTCACAGCCAGCGTTTTGTTAGTAGCTATAACGTTATTGATTACACCAGCAACGGACAATGTAGGTAAGTAAAGATCGATATCACTTTGATGAAAGTCAGCTTTTTTTTTCTCTCTTATTATCAACTAACAGTTAAATAAATAAAAGTTGTTTTTATTTTACATTCATAATTCTCGGAGCCCATAAGTGAAACCAAAGAAGAATGTGTTTTTACATGTTAACCACATTACATCTGCTACATCCAGTCCTGATGAGGCCTTTCGGCTAATACTAGGACTCGTCAGTTTTCTAGAACAACAACTAATATGGTGGGAACCAGACTAAGCAAACGAATTCTAATTACTGTGAATTTTCTTTTGGATATTTACAAATCACATTCACAAGAGACGAATAAATAACACGACATTATTTTTTTTTTCTTATTTTAACACTGACTATTTATTTCTTATTTATTCACTCAATTATTATCGTTATTTTGTTTGAGTTAACTTTACTATCAAACAGAAGGACTGGCGAACTAGTAAACAACACTTCTTGCCATTCAACCATAGCGTTAACGAAATTAAAACCATATTAGTGATTCTAAGAACCCACAGATGAAGATGTAGAAGAATATATTATCCGAAGTGGGCTACTTAAGGTACTCTGTTGTTTCGTTTAGAGGATTTTTGGGCAAACTGACACAAAGGGCTACCCGCTCATAGCCTAACCTTTCCTGATTTTGAACTGATAGACTAGAGGGAAGGCAGTTAGTCAAAGGCACCCACCGTCAACTATTGGGCTACTATTGTCTGTCTAAGTGTCTCCCAGTGGCACAGCGGTATATCTGAGGACTTAAAATGCTCAAAATCTGGTTTCGATTCCTGTGGTGGGCAGAGCACAGATAGTCCATTGTGTAGCTTTGTGCTAAACTTCAAACAATCAAACTAAGTGGTGAGATTTGACCGTCTCTTTTATAATGCACTCACGGCTCGAAAAAGCAGAGGGCGTTTGTGTAGCATCAAGCCATATACCATGAAGCTCCCAGGGTGAAATAATGATAATGTTGACCACCCGTTGATCAAAGCTTCTTATAATTGTTGAAGTGATACGATGATTAAAATATTCTTCAGTGATTGGCTTTAAGAACCGACCATAGTAACGCAGTAATACTTAAATCTGGTGATTGAGTTAACCAATGTAGGAGCCTAAACTCTTCCTCGTGTTCTCTTAACCAATCCCTGACGAGTTCACCAGTGTGAATTTGTATATTATTTTCAAGAAACCCGTTAGGGGATAAATTGTTCATCAGAGTTCGAACCTTGTGTGCAGTTAGGTTTAACTAAATATTTGCTTCACTTAACCCTTAAGTAAGATCTTATGTTCTAAAATACTACAGCAAGAAGCTATCCATACCATCACAGACGCTTAATCTTTTAATTTTACTGCACAGAAACACATCTGTTTAATAGAATAATTTAAAGATATGATTCAATTGATGAAATCACATTTTCATCCTTGCTCTTCGGCCAGATTTTTTTATGTTTTTGACTCCATTTTGTATTTTACGGTGTTATTAAAGACTTCTGAATGGCAGTCCTATTATCGGTTTCCTCTATCGAGTTGTTTTTGACAGAAATTAAAGTTGCAGTCTCTTGTTTTCGTTCCAATACTCGTGTTAATGTCCATCTATCACTTAGTTTTTCGACCACTATTACGTTTGTCTGATTTTATCTTTCTATATCGATGTTGACCATTCGTTATTTTAGGTGTTCTTGTCACGGAGAATCCGGCTAATATTTCACCTATAATCATTTCTATTTGGAAATCTGACACTCCGTTCTAGCTTGACAGTTTCAGACTCTTGCCCTGAACAAAAAAACAAAACAAAACATACTATTCATGTACAGAAAATCCTAAACAATATAGAATAATTAAATGCACAAATGAATTATCATATTTTCCAACTTCATACCACCAAAAGTTGGAGGTATGAAGGCGAGGTGTTTTCGTTCTTTTACCCGTCAGTCCCCCGCACGTGAGAATGTGCAATGGATTGTGAAAGTATTAATCGAATTGAGAAGATTAAACAGTAATATTTCACTACTGATTTTGTGCTGGGTATCGCCACAAAAGATTAGACTTTTCGATCAGTTGTAGTAACCGTTATACTTAACCAATAGTTATCGTTCAATAAATCGGCTTCCATCTTTTTTTGTTGTTGTTGTTTTAATTTTTCTTAAGACTCTTTTAAACAAAATAAATTGAAGTCGGGACTATCATGGACGGGATCTGCTGAAGATTTCAGATCCGAAACCCTAAGAGTTGGGTGTGCCCTAGTGGTTGGCGCACTCGGAGTGTGACAGTATTACATCAACAATTATAAGAAGCTTTGATCAACGGGTGGTCAACATTATCATTATTTCACCGTATTACATCAACAATTATAAGAAGCTTTGATCAACGGGTGGTCAACATTATCATTATTTCACCGTATTACTTCAACAATTATAAGAAGCTTTGATCAACGGGTGGTTAATATTATCATTATTTCATCGTATTACTTCAACAATTATAAGAAGCTTTGATCAACGGGTGGTCAACATTATCATTATTTCACATATTACATCAACAATTATAAGAAGCTTTGATCAACGGGTGGTCAACATTATCATTATTTCACCGTATTACATCAACAATTATAAGCAGCTTTGGTCAACGGGTGGTCAACATTATCATTATTTCACCGCATTACTTCAACAATTATAAGAAGCTTTGATCAACGGGTGGTCAACATTATCATTATTTCACCGTATTACATCAACAATTATAAGAAGCTTTGATCAACGGGTGGTCAACATTATCATTATTTCACCGTATTACTTCAACAATTATAAGAAGCTTTGATCAACGGGTGGTCAACATTATCATTATTTCATCATGTCCTGTAAAAAAAGATTTTTCTGTAAACTAGTCAATTTTGACTTGTTATAGATATATTACTACAGCGCTCTTTATGTGTCCG